ATTTATTAAGAAAATTTTAGAAAATATTTATATATACCAATCTATAGATAATTTTATCTAGTTTTTGCTTTCTTAACACAAATTTCTTCTATCTAGTTTCAGAAAAAAGTTTCTTTAATAAAAACTGTAAAAAGTACGTTTTTCAAAGTATTATCGAACAGACAAAAAACTGACTGCGTTTGTATTCTTTTTTTATTAGATTATTTTGAGACGTTATTAAAAAAATATATTATCTAATTTATAGTACAATTAAATTAATTAACCTGAAGGATTGTACTTTAAAAAAAAAATAAAAAATATTCTTTGTACTTTTCAAAAAAAAAAGGAAAAATTTTCTTCAGACCTTTTATGTATAATTTTTCTTAAACTTTTCTTGAACGGTTAGTTTAATTTTGGTAAAACATTTTGTATTGGTCCAAGAGTATTTTAAAATGGAAAAAATCGTAAGAAATTATAGTTTAGTAGGACTAGGAAAAAATAGCATCAACTTACCAGTTTTAACCAATGCAAAAAAAATACATCAACTTTGATAAAAGGTAGCTCATATAAATATATCAAGTTATGGAAAGTTTGCAATTCTTTTTTATTTAGGACTTACTTTCTTAAGGATTTTCTATACCAAACTCAAGATAAAATTCTAAATTTTTTCCTCACCTTTTTCAAATAAAGTATCAATCCCAGGATCAGTAATCAGTGGAAAATTCCTCAAAGGATGATACAAAAAATCGCTATTCGAAATCGCAAGTGTTCCCAAACACATATGTCTACCTAAAAATATAAAATAATAAATTAATATTTATATATATCTTCTTATATATAAAAATGGAGCTGTCTTTCAAATGTCCGAATAAAACTCGAAAACGGCTGAATCGATTTGGCCAGTCTTAGTCTTGAAAAATTCGTGCCAATCCAGAGAATGTCCAAAAGGTGAGAAATTATTTCAAATCCGCGTAGAAACTTTACATTTATAATTTGAAAATTTTTGTAGAAGCGTAATTTAAATAGAACAATGGACGGTGGCAATTTCGTGAAATGTCAAACGCTTTCGACAGATGATGTTCAATTACGTTTAATAGGATGTTTTACGCGAATATTATTTATTTGTGATAAATTTGTAGTAAGTAGTTTTGTTTGTAGTTTTATTTATATACAAAAACGTTAGTAAACGGGCCCCAAGTGTTACTAGAGACTCAAAATATAAACTTTTTCGATATGTTAATATGAAAATGCATTTTTGGCATATTTTTCTCAAACACGGTGCTCTGAAAGATCTTATTTGTATAATTATATGCTCATTGGTATTTATAAAACATTTTCTAGGTTGTTATATATTTTTTATTTATGTTATTTAAATTCAGAACCTAAATTTGGTATCGATCAAATGGACCTTTTGTCGAATAACATTTTTCCAGTTATAATTTTCCAGAATTTATCGCAGAATAGATAGTAATATATGATGGTCCGGGGTTAAAAAGGCCACCACCGATTTGTCAAAAATCAGTAAAGTTAAGCATTGTTTAACAACAATATTTGAAAGTACAGGAAAAAAGATTTATAGCCAGCTACAAGCTTGATTTGAAAACGGTAATCTTTGAAATGGGGGAGATAAACGGTAATCTTTGAGAATCCATAATAAAAGTATTTTTCTTTCCGTTGGTAGTTTTTAAGCATTAGTTAAAAATGATAATTATTTTGTAAAATACCTTTAAAACTATAATAAGGCTTTAAATCTTTTTGCCACCTGCCCGTTTCAAGTTTGCCGGTCAGCTATTATATATATAGATATATTATATATATATATATATAAATATATATATATAATTATGTTAAATGTTAAATATGAACAATACAACACTCCGGATTTTAACACACACACTTTATTCGGTTATAGAACATATAGGAGTTCTGATGCTGTTCAAACAATAAAAAAAATATATCCGAATTCGGATTATCCGGAATTCGGATTATCCGGAATTCGGATTATCCGGAATTCGGATTATCCGGAATTCGGATTATCCGGAATTCGGATTATCCGGAATTCGATTATCCGGAATTCGGATTATCCGGAATTCGGATTATCCGGAATTCGGATTATCCGGAATTCGGATTATCCGGAATTCGGATTATCCGGAATTCGGATTATCCGGAATTCGGATTATCCGGAATTCGGATTATCCGGAATTCGGATTATCCGGAATTCGGATTATCCGGAATTCGGATTATCCGGAATTCGGATTATCCGGAATTCGGATTATCCGGAATTCGGATTATCCGGAATTCTGATTATCCGGAATTCGGATTATCCGGAATTCGATTATCCGGAATTCGGATTATCCGGAATTCGGATTATCCGGAATTCGGATTATCCGGAATTCGGATTATCCGGAATTCGATTATTATCCGGAATTCGGATTATCCGGAATTCGGATTATCCGGAATTCGGATTATCCGGAATTCGGATTATCCGGAATTCGGATTATCCGGAATTCGGATTATCCGGAATTCGGATTATCCGGAATTCGATTATCCGGAATTCGATTATCCGGAATTCGGATTATCCGGAATTCGGATTATCCGGAATTCGGATTATCCGGAATTCGGATTATCCGGAATTCGGATTATCCGGAATTCGGATTATCCGGAATTCGGATTATCCGGAATTCGGATTATCCGGAATTCGGATTATCCGGAATTCGGATTATCCGGAATCGGATTATCCGGAATTCGGATTATCCGGAATTCGATTATCCGGAATTCGGATTATCCGGAATTCGGATTATCCGGAATTCGGATTATCCGGAATTCGGATTATCCGGAATTCCGGAATTCGATTATCCGGAATTCCGATTATCCGGAATTCCGATTATCCGGAATTCCGATTATACGGAATTCCGATTATCCGGAATTCGATTATCCGGAATTCGGATTATCCGGAATTCGGATTATCCGGAATTCCGATTATCCGGAATTCGTATTATCCGGAATTCGATTATCCGGAATTCGGATTATCCGGAATTCGGATTATCCGGAATTCGGATTATCCGGAATTCGGATTATCCGGAATTCGGATTATCCGGAATTCGAATTATCCGGAATTCGGATTATCCGGAATTCGGATTATCCGGAATTTCGATTATCCGGAATTCGGATTATCCGGAATTAGGATTATCCGGAATTCGGATTATCCGGAATTCGGATTATCCGGAATTCGGATTATCCGGAATTCGGATTATCCGGAATTCGGATTATCCGGAATTCGGATTATCCGGAATTCGGATTATCCGGAATTCGGATTATCCGGAATTCGATTATCCGGAATTCGGATTATCCGGAATTCGGATTATCCGGAATTCGGATTATCCGGAATTCGGATTATCCGGAATTCGGATTATCCGGAATTCCGATTATCCGGAATTCGGATTATCCGGAATTCGGATTATCCGGAATTCGGATTATCCGGAATTCGGATTATCCGGAATTCGGATTATCCGGAATTCGGATTATCCG